TTTGGCATAGCTTGTGGTAGTGCTTGTGCACTAATGCATCAAGTCAGCTCTGGGATTTTGTACTGTTGTGGTCTTGTTTAAATACACACACATACATATGTACACGGCTTGATCACTTGGAGGGTGTGCGATTGCCTATTTTGTGCCTTCGATCTTGGTTACTTTTTTGAACTAAAATTTGAAAGATGCAACTATACATTGAATTTATATCTCATAAGCAAGAAAAGAGTGGGCATATTTTTGTCAAAAATTGACGTGTCATAGAAATTTCTGTGCTTCTTAGGCCCTTGGTTAGGGTTGAACGTGGTTAGGGTTGAACGTGCTCTTACCACAGGTGATATGGTGAGGTTCCTGTCTCAAACTTGGCATAACCACTTGGTGAGGCTATATAGATGTACCTATATGGAGATCTCTATTTCTCTCTCTGAGAGTGGTCAGTAAGTAGGTTCCTTGGGAACATGGATGAGTAACTGGATGAATTCTAGCCACCACATCACATATCCCTTCGTAGGTCAAAATCACAACACCTACCCTGAGGGATCCATAAGTCTAACATTTCTAACATATGTTGTGTGAGAACATTAAGGTGCCATTGGAGTGAAATGACTATGCGTCATAGGATGGATACATTAAGGTGAAGAGTTGTTTGTTTGTTGAGCCAAGGGGGGTCTGAGCATTTCATCACTTAGAGTAGAAAGGACATGCTCAAGTGGAAGCTTGCTTGGTTGAGCTGAAGGGCCCCAAGCATGTTACATAGACTTTTTAAATGTGTGACGTATTGACAGTGGGCACTCAACACTTGGTTAATGATATGAATATATGTTCAACATGTTTAGTTGGAGGGCACCCGACAAATATTTTCACTTGCAGAATTTTACTGTAAAACTCTGGTAGAACTTCCATGCTATAGATACACTGCTCTATGTTATTTTATAAACATATTTTACCCTAGAAAATGAAAAAGAATGTTAATATAATAGAAATATGTAGCCATGCCATGGTGTCCTTAGACTTCGGAATTAGATGAATTGATGTTGAGACACATCTTGCACTCTGTACTTACATCCAAGTTCATGTAACTTGTCTTGAGAGTTGAGACGAAGGTGCTATGTGCGTTAACCTCATTTAGGAACAACATAGCTTGACCAAGGGAGGAGCTAGTACGACACATTTGAGTGGTCCACATATCACCTCATGAGATTGACATGGAGGAATCTTGGAGATGATGTGGCAATGGCATGTGGCATGGGGCATGTGGCATGGTGGGACCAGGTACCCACTGGTTTCAAAAATTATATAACCTTAAGGAGGGGTTAATATGTACAAATTCGTAATTTTGATTTTGATCTTTGGCCCCCATTTTATTTTCTTCAAACCTGCATCAAGATTCAAGATGTGCTTTATCTGTGTTCAGACCATAGTGTTCTGCATGTGTCCAAAGTAGTGCTGATTTTGGATGGGGGTAAAAAAAAGAAAAAACTAACTATAACAATAACAGGACATGTTTGATGAGTGTTGGTATCCAATGTTTGTTGGGCATGAACATTTCTCTGAATCCATGCTCCCTAGGTTTTGGACTTCATTTTCTTGGTAAATCTTTCCTTCAAAAAAATTATTGCAAGCTTTTTAGTGGCCATGTTAACAATGAAGATATCATCTTGTTTTTCCTCGTGGCATTTACTGGTTATACTGGTTATGAAAAGTTTTCCTCTAGTTCTGTCTATCGACTATTTCTTATTTGTGCTCCTAATTTTGTATCATATGGAAATTTCTCCATTTACTGGCATTTTTTTTAATGATTTGAATTCATTACCTGGAATGTTATGTGGCTTATGTTTTGGTATAATTACTGTGACTCTAATATATGGTATTTCTTTCTTGAAGATGCTCGTGGATTTCCTCAGCCTTGAATACAATAACCTGCTTACTCCGTAGGGGATGAGTTCTTGAGCAGGCAAGCCAATTATATGATTACTTTTTCAATCGGTTAGAATTCAATGTTAATTCTCACAAGGTTTAAAATTTGTATTATGTTTATAACTGCAGATTTTCTAGAAATGCAAGCGTGGTTGCAACGGGGGTGGCCAAGAACCTGCGTAGAGTAAGCAATCACATGAAACGACGTCTTGATGACATTCTATATCCGTACCGTAGTCGACCCAAGTAAAATTCCCAATCTTGTGGTCACAAGATTATGAAGAAAATAGCAATAAGTAGAAACTGGCTTTGACCTAATTATGCATTCCTTTAAACCTTAGCTTTGTTCTTCTATGCAATGAGCTATGTTCTTTATCCGAACTGTGTCATTACAATCTTGTTTTTGTACAGTGTCGGTGTTTATTTATAAGATAGTAGAGTTCCTCAGAGACTGATGAATGTACGAGTTTAGACTGCTGAGGCATTCATAATCGCACGCTGCCAAGGCATTCGCACATTCCATTTGTTTTGTTTAAGCTGGTGGTTCATTTTATACTCTATTTGCTTCATTAATGTGTGTTGTGTGTTCTAACATATTTCATAGAACACAGTAATGCTTGTGCATTATGAAATGCCAAGTATCAAATTTCTTTTTGAATATGCACTTGCTCAAATTGGTCAGCTTAACATGTTCTTGGAAGGCAATCACACTAGAGGGCTTGTGTCCTTTGAATGGTAAGAATTAAAGAGAGAGAATGAAAAACTCATTATAAAAAATTATGTTATTAGTAATAAAATTATTGTGCTATTATTATTTAAGCAGTTGTTTAATAATAAATTTTCTATAATAGAATTTCTTGGGGTTATTATTATTTTTACTCTTAAATGATTCAGGTTATCTACAAACATGAGATTATTAGGGGTAGTGTGGGATTGGATTTTTGCTTAGTTAAGAAAAATGATTACAGTGTTAGTAGGTATTATCCCATTCTAATTAGTTACAAACAGTAAAATTATAGAAATTTGGATTCACATTCTCATTTTCCCTCCAAATTTCTATCATTGGAACTAAGGTCATGTTTGTTTTCCTTATGTTGTGTTTGGTTGGGGATTTGGGGAGGGATTTGGAAAGGGAAAAGGAAAAAGTGTGTGAAACTAGGTGAAATATAGGCATGTTTTATTCACATTTCACCTATCTTTTCCATTTCTCTTTTCAAATCCCTCTCTAAATCTCTCAACCAAACACAGCATTACTAGGTAGATTGGGTTACTAGGTAGATTGGGTTAGTGAGTACGGTAAGATTGAGTGATGAGATTATTTACTTAATAATATTAAGTTAGAGATATAAGAAAAGATATGTTTGTTTGTTAAATTTGTAAACATTGCATAAAAATTTGACTTTATTATTTTTGTAAATTAAGAATAAAATAATCTTTCCATTTATAATCTCAACTCTCTATGGAAAATGTTAATTCAACCATTTCGATTTGTCATTCCATGCCATTTATTATAATCAAACATAATTTTGACAAGAATAAGAATTATTAATCTAATTCCACTCTCGTACAGGTTAAACAAACATAATGACCTAAAAAGCCCTTGTTTGATTTAATAGGTTTAATGGTAAGGAGATTAATAATTCATGAGATTAATATATGATTAGTTATCCAATTAGATTAATAGAATAAATAATTGTCTCTTGTTCGTGTTTGTTTTATATGGAATTAAAAAAATTAGATAGAATATCATCCATCATAATTTAATTTGAAAAACAGAATTTGTAATAAAATATTAAAATGCGAGTGTTATGGATTAATAATCTAAAACCATTTTAATCAAGGCCTGAACAAAATTCCTATAACCCAAAATTTTCAAAACAATTATATAATATCCAAATCATAACGTATAAGCCCGTCTAGCTCAGTTGGTAGAGCGCAAGGCTCTTAACCTTGTGGTCGTGGGTTCGAGCCCCACGGTGGGCGATATTTTTTTTTTTTCCATTTTCATTTTCATTTCATTTTATTTTATTTTAGATTTAAAAACGATAAATTATACTCACATCTGAAAAAATAGAATTAACCCACACTATAATTTTTTATATAATTACATTGCTTTCTCTTTTTTTTTTTTTTTTAAACACAGAATAAAGTATTTTGAGTAACAAGTTATTAAGGAAAAATATTATTATTGTAAATTAAGACATCGTTTGGGTATTTTAGTAATTTTTAAATTTTTTAACTAAAATATAAGATAATTTTTTTTTTCGAGCCCCACGGTGGGCGATATTCTTTTTTTTTCCATTTTCATTTTCATTTTCATTTTCATTTTATTTTATTTTATTTTAGATTTAAAAATGATAAATTATACTCACATCTAAAAAAATCTGAAAAAATACAATTAACCCACACTATAATTTTTTATATAATTACATTGCTTTCTCTTTTTTTTTTTTTTTTAAACACAGAATAAAGTATTTTGAGTAACAAGTTATTAAGGAAAAATATTATTATTGTAAATTAAGACATCGTTTGGGTATTTTAGTAATTTTTAAATTTTTTAACTAAAATATAAGATAAATTTTTTTTGTATGTTTGGAATGATTTTTTAATTTTTTATTAAAAGCTGGACAAAAAATAAAGAGTAAAAAAAATCTTTAACTTTTTTAGTATAAATTTTTTAATTTTTTTAATAACTTTTTAATTTTTAGACTAAAATTATTATTTTCTCAAAGCCTAAAATTTTAAAAAATTAATTTAATTGTATAAAAAAATGAAAATAATTATAATTTTTTCAAACATGTGATCATGAGTGTAATTTATCAAAAAATAAAAAAATAATAATAATAAAAGATGAAAGAACAACAATGTTAGGTAGCTCAAAATTTTGTGGCTCAAATGGTTCAAATCGCTCAAAACGACGTTATTTTGAGCATAAATAATTGTAAAAGGACGTCGTTTTGACAAATTTAAACTATTTAAACCACAAAATTTTGAGTTACATTTTCCATAAAAGAAATAAAAATAAGACGTCGCAATAATTTCTCGTTTTGTTGGCTTGTTTATAGCAGTTTTTGATTTCGGGCAGTAATTCGAGAACGTAGGGGGAAGAGACAAAGGTGCAGATGCGCAGAAGAACCACCACCAGAGAGGAGAGAAGAGAGAGAAGAGAGAGAAGATTGTGAAAATCAATCATCTTCCACGATTCCCGAGGAGAAAGGGGAGACCCATGCTATTTGAGGGTCTTGCTCTGATCAACATCTACAACAAAGAATCAGATTCAGAAGACAATTCATTATCAATCGCTCTCTCTCTCTCTCTCCCTGCCTACCTTTTTCATCTTCGAAATCAGATATTCTAATCGATTGATGGCCGCTTATTATGCGGCTTGTATGCGGGTGAGACAACTCCAACTCCAACTCCAACTCCAACTCGGCACCAATTCGATTTCTGGGATCAACTTTGCCTTATTCAGACCTCACTCTGCCAATTCCATCAATTCATCTCCCTCCTCATTGTTTCCCTGCCGATTCTCCCATTCTAGACACATTTCTCAGCTTGTTCAATCCAACGGAAAGCGCGTTTTCCTCGTCGACACATTAGCACTTGTACTCTCTCTCTCTCTCTCTCTCACTCTCTCTGGTTTTGTTGTTTCAATTGTGAAAGAAATTGGAATTCTTTTATGTGAAGTGGGTCGATTTTTTTAACCCTAATGAACCTACAATTTAGGTTAGGAGATTGGAGGCTCAAGGAGTTCCTTCGAAGCAAGCCGAGGCGATAACTGCCGCTATTACTGAAGTTTTGAATGACAGCTTGGAAAATGTGGCCCAATCTTTTGTTTCCAAGCCTGAAATGCAGAAAGTATGATACTTCTCATCTATTCATGAATTATCATTATTATTTTTAAATTTTTTTGGGTTATTTGAAAGCTAGAAATTTGTCTTGTTTTAATTTGACTTTCTTTTGTCGGTGCTTTGTGTTTTTTCTGTAGAGTGTCATGATTCAGGAGTCCACTTTGTCCAAATTCAAGTCTGAAGTTCAAAGCTCACAGGTACTAAGTAACTTTATTGATCTTATTACCTTGTGAATTTCTCTCTATCATTTTCATGATATCATTATTATTAGTTATTACTAACGCAATACTATGAATTGCTAACAAACACATTCAGTGTCACATCACCGTATGTTGGAAAATTTTGTATGGAGGGATTAAGTATAATGGTATTTGATTTAACATTCATGCAATAATTCTTGCGAATGGTGTGTCACTCTCAAAATGTAATGCTTGCTTGATATTGATCATCACATATACTGTCAGATGATGCATAACCACAGCAGAGTTGATTGATTCCCATGTAGGTTTATATTTTGGTTTTGGAGTTGCCAAAAGTTAAATGATTCTTGACACTGTCTCAAGGCATTGTGATCAGTGAAAAAGGGCGTACCTAATACACAAAGCTCCCGCTTACAAAAGAGTTTGAGAAAGGAAGTAGGCAGGCTTACCCCCACTTTTGTTGTGGAGAGGCTGATTCATGACTCAAACCTGCACCACTAGGTTGGGTGCCGATACCACTTGCCATCACAGATAACTCTGTTATCAATAGTGGACAATATGTCGTAGAGAATTAGAAACATTGCTAGGGTTGGGCCGTGTGAAGGTAGAATTTTTCGTCTTTTGAATACCCATTTATGTTCACTGAGAACTAAACAATCGATCATCACCTCATGTTTTGCCCTTTTGAACTTAGAAAACCCTTATTCTCTAGTAATGCAAGATATTCATACTTTTTGTTTAAAAAATAAATTGAAATTTCAAGCTCTCTTGTGAGTTAAAAATTTAAAATCAGTTAAAGCCTAAATGAAAACAATAAATGTATGCATATATGCATGTTAAAATTATTTGGGGCTTTGTGTGACCATATCGTCTCTTCTATATTTTTTGGTAAGCAATTTATTTTATTACCCAAAATTGATCAAACAATGAAGCTCAAAACATAGTACAAACAGACACTCAAAAATAGTTTTAGACTGAGGATGCCAAGCCTTGCCTATATTGATAGCTCTCTGACAATCTGCAAGGCTAGGCAAAAACATAACATCGCAACAAGGGACGAGTTGATGTAGAAAATTTCATATAAACCAAAGAGAGGGCATTCCACACAGTTTTGGTAAACCATTCCAGCATCAACCAAGTAAAGCTTGCTTTTTTATGGCAGACATGGCATTTTCACCTATTATGTGCTCAGCCATGTGTAACGAAATTCATCTTCAATCTCATTTACATCCGGAGCAATGACAATGTAACACAGTGAGTGTGACTACCAACCTGACTGAACAATCCACTTCCTAACTCTCCAAACTAAACTAATTGTATCAACGATAGCTTGGTTGTCTTCTTAGCTCATCTTCCCAAACAATTCATGGCTTCCATGAAAGCATCACTAGTCTTTTGGGGAACTAATCTGCCACTTCTCAGAGACTGAGTCCCAATTCACACAACAACAAAATCCTTGACATGTTGATGGCACTAAGCTTCATTCACACATTGGCAAACCCCTTTCTTCAGAAGATGAACATCCCCAATAAATTCCACTGAAGCCTAGCCAAGTCCACTTGAAGAATCGCAATAACATTAAAGTCGTGATCCATCTCTGATCACTCAACCAAACTTCAACGCTGGAAAGAAGAATAGCAGTCTTTAGTCGAACCAAATCTCTACCCACTAATCCAACTTCATTGAAACCTTTCTGGTTTAGCTTCTACACGAAAGATGAGGGTTTTATAAGAGTAGATTGTGTCGGAGAGGTCACCATCACAAAGGAACATTATCTCTACCCTTGAGTTCATCAGTGGACCATTTAACAATATTGTTGCAAACAAGCTCCCATTCGAAAGATAACATCATTCTCAGGTGTTAAGGCAGTCTTGGGATCAGTTTTCTAAAGGGTTGCTTATGTTTAAACTTGGTTGCAAGCTCAAGAGATTAAAACCTCTTCTTAGAGCCTTAACAAGGCCAAATTTTCTGATATTAGTAACAGAGTTATGGATGCTAAATTTCAGATTGAGATGTTTCAGGAAGTCTGTTTTACTGAGCCCCAGAATGCTGAAGCATGTAGTAAGGAAAAGGAGTTGGTTGTTCATTATTATATGCTTTGTTCTGCTGAGGAATCTTTCAAAAAACAAAAGTCCAGAGTTAAATGATATCATCTTGGAGATCAGAAAAATAAGTTCTTTTATCAGCAGGTTTGTAGCCACAGAATGCAAAACTAGAGTTTGAGTTTATATGATGATTGGGAAATAGGCTTGAGAGCTCTGATGAAGTTAGAATGAGTTTGTTACTTACAACAAAAGGCTCTTGAGCTGCAAATTTGAGCAAAAGGTGGATGCTACTGAATTGCTTGGTAAGGCAATTAATTCAAAAGTTCCTGAAGAGTATTAAAATTGCTCTTGTGGCTATTGTGACTGAAGATGAAATTAAGAGAGCTCTGTTCTCTATCAAAGCGGAGAAGGAAATCCCCCATATTAAAATTACCTTCTAGGAGGTCTGTTTGATATCCAAAAATTGCGCAGCAATAGTCAAATAAGTGGGGAATGTTGGGGTGAACCAGAAAAGTTTGGGTAGAGCCGGATCTAAGCGACCGGCAATGGCATCTCAGCAAAGACGGAGCACAAAAAAAGGGGGCATTGTAACAAAATCGAAATCAAAAGTCACACATGCTTTGCCCAACTCGTAGTTTTCCCTTCTGGCTTTTGGGTAGTTCAATAGCTATCTAGCTAGAGAACGAGGGAAAGCACTACATATGTTTTTTTTGCCCCAGCTCTACTCACTCACTACCTAACGGCCCGAAAAGGTTCTTTCTTGAAAGACCACTCTTTTGTTTAAGGATGCCTCCTAAAGAGTAACAGAGGTGTGTGAAGGTAGGCTAAAGCTAAGATTCTGCTCGTGAGCGTAATGGTATAAGCCTTCCTAATTGTCCATGGATGTGAACCGATCGACTGCTATCTAAGAGAAGATAAGTAGTTCTTCTATTGTTCAAGGGCAAGGGGAGAACATGTAGCGACTTGCCTAGATCACGTATTTCCCACGTAGTCCGTCGGTCAAACCAACAATTCTCTTCTCAAAGAAATAGAGAGTCTTTCTGCTCTAAATAGAATAGACCTACCTTGGCTTGATAAGCCTAGCGATCTCAGTATAAATAGTGGAATTCCTTTCTTTTTCAGCCCTTTCTGTGTTGTGCTTCATCTTTCTCTTTTTTCGGTGATCCCAGTCCTGCTCATTTGAATGAGAGTAGACCCTTCGTTAGACCTTAGAATGAAAGAGGAATTCTTTCTGGTGTCATCCCATTTGGAGGCCTCACGGGACTACCTTGGACGGTGCCACAATCTGTTCAATGTACAACAATGTGTTGAACTACTTCAACAAGTCTGCGTGTGAGATATCCAGCATCTGATGTCTCCTAGTAGCTTTCTCTGTCCCTAATCAGCTCACTTCTACAATTGGTAATTGGTACCATTCCATGTTGGAAGTAGTGGCAGTGAAGGACCCCTTTAGTCCACGTCCTGATGGCTGTAGTGCAAATTCTTCCCATAAAAATTGGGATATTGTGGGATATAACCTGCTTCAGGTTGCCATTACTCTTGTCCCGAACTCTGATTGTCCTATATTTCATGTTGCAATGTTTCCTAAGAGTGTATTTCTAAGGTTCTTGCTAATAGGTTGCAGAGAGTGTTACCATTCATCATTGATAAATCACAGTCTGCTTTTACAAAGGTAGATCTATTGTGGGCAGTGTTCTATTGATGCAGGAATTGGTGAAGAATTATCATAAACATGATGGACCTTCTAAGTGTGCTATTAAGATTGATTTAATGAAGGCATACAGTTCAGTTGATTGGCAGTTATTGTTTAATGTTATGAATACTATGGAATTCTTCTATCAGTTTTTTAAGTGGGTGGAGCAGTGTGCAACTACTGTGATGTTCTCTGTGGTTATTACTGGAGAGTTGGTGGACAGTGCTCACTGTTGTTAAGTGACCTTTTGGCTGCACTGTCTATACGGTTGAGTTGGAACTTGAGGAAGTGAAGGCACCTTCTCTCCCTCAGCAGACTATTTCTGTGAAGGCAACAGGAGAAAGAGTTGGTAAGAAGCTTTAACCCACGTTTTGTGGAGAGGTTGATTCTCGTGACTTGAACTTGCACCACTATACTAGGGTTGGATTGCATTTACCATCATAGGACAACTTTTTTTTTGACCTTCATGGTCTCCATGGTGGAGATTATATTTAAGAAGATGAAATTAAATAAGGCTTTAGGACCCAATGATATCTCTGTTGAAGCTTGGAAGTGTTTGGGTGAAAAAGGAGTTGCTTGGTTGATTAGGTGGTTTAGCAAAATTTTGTTGACTAAGAACATGCCAGATGAGTGGAGAAAGAGTATTTTAGTGCCAATCTATAAGAATAAAGGAGATGTTCAGAATTGCAACAACTATAGAGGAATCAAGCTAATGTGTCATATAATGAAAGTATGGGAGAGGGTGATGGAACGCCGATTGCGAGATATAACAGAAGTCTCAGAGAATCAATTTGAGTTTATGCCTGGTGTACGGGAGGCAAATATTCAGGCAAGCTCGTACTCCTTTCTTTCGAGCTCCGTTACTGTCCGATCACCTGCGAGCAAATAACGGTGAGCTACCCGGCGGTGTGTGGCCGGATGACCCTTCCGACGATCAAGTTAGGACACACACAAGGGATAGATAGAGAGAAGGGAGAGTGTTGAGTGTAAGTATTACTCTTACCAAATGTTCATCTGTCCCCATATGGGGGGCGCAGTCATGCTTATATGCTTTCTGCGCCCCAAATCTACTTCCAGTGATCTCTCTACACGTGGCACCGCTATCCCATCTGTCAGCATAAACCTTGCTGAGCACCACCTAACCCAACTGCCTGCCCATACTCCGGGGAGCTCGGCAGCCGGGCAGTATCATCTCGGTCATCGTCTGCCATGCTGCGTTTCATGCCTAAGTACTCCAACAGCTAAGCTCAGAGAAGGAC